TACAACAGTGGAAGTGTTGTTATTAGAAAGAGTTGAAAACCTAAGAGCAAGTCCACCCTAACAAATAAGCTGGGCAATAGCCCATTTTTCCCTTTAGCCACCCAAAAATCCACTCCACCCTATCCAATTAGCTGGCCCAAAGTGGAGGCCAATTTTGAGCCCCGCCTATAATGGATTGACCTAGAAATCAGCCTACATGACGTTAGCCTGACTTCAACCATGTGAATTAAATTTTTTTTTTTTTTTTTTGCGATTGGCGAATGGTAAACACGCACTCGTGGGCGCGCGTTCCCGACAACACGCAAAGGGGGCCCTCGCTACAGGCGCACTAACGGGATGCGGGACTTGGGCTAGCGATGGCCGTTGAATTTTCAACGACTAGTTTTCTGGACTGCTAGATTTCCAATTGTAAACAAAATTTAAATTTAAAATCTAACGGCTAGTGATGTGGCAAATTTAGACTGTTCGATTTCCAAATCAAAGGTCCAGGTTTTTCGACCAAAAAAAAAAAGAGCAACATGTCAGAAATCTTATCGTTTGCCACGTGTCCAATTTTGGGTTGTTGGATTAATTAACAGTCCAGATTAATTAACTTAATAAAAATTATTAAAAATGGTTTAAAAATACAAAAAAAAAAACGAAAATCCTATCCAAAATAAAAAATAAAAATATTTTTTATTACTTTATAAAAATATAATATTTTAATACGAATTGACTAGGCAATTCAAGTAGGTACCTTTTAGTACGTGGGACGGGACAGAACGCACTGGGATGAGGCATTTCGTCCCACGTTTGGTGCGCCCAAAAACTGTGGAACGCGTTGTCCCACAGGACGAAATTTGGCTGAATTTTCATTCCGCCTCCCTTCCCTGTAATGACTTGTTCCACATCCGTGGAACACAAAATTAAAACTTTTTAGGACAAAAATGCCCCTTATCTTTTTTAATATTTACTATCCAAATCGTAAAACAAACCTTAACCATTCTCTGTCGCTGCCTTTCTTCTCGTAACCTTCCTCCTCATCCTCATCCTCTCCCATAGCCGCTGACTACACCCAGCTAGCACGCAGCAGCACGGAGCCACTATTGTTGTGCTGCAGATTGACCCAGGTATGCAATTGATAGCTTGTTAAATCTCAGTTTTTTACTTTAATCGATGAATCTTTTCTGATTCAATTTTTTTCGTGCTCGTTTTGTTTCTTTGTTTTGTGTTTTAGTGGAAAGTTTTATGGGTTTTAATTAATTAGGTATTGTCAATCTTCCAGCTGTCTCACATTTCGTATAATAGAAGAATCTCATTTCTAGCTAACAGTGAAGCTTGTGTTATATGTTAATCTATTTATTATCTATATATTGGTGCAAATAACTGAATTTGTTAACTTTCATGCCTACAAGTTAGCATGCTGATTCTTGTATTGGAATCCCAGACTTGAAGGAGATGGCAAACAACCAAGAATTCGATTGCCAGTCAAAGTCCATTTTGTTTCGTTGTTGTTTTCATCCTCACCATCGTTGCGAGAAATCACAGCTCTGTCTGTCAAGCCACAGTCGAACTCGAACGCTTCAATTGTAGCCCACATCAATACTAGCAAACCATTTTTTAGCAACTCCAACAAGTGTGTAGTGTTTGGGTTTAACTTCAGTAATGAAGGAGCCAAAGCTTCAAGCCCTTTTCAATGGTCACTATATGACGCCAGTGATAACATCAACATTAAGGGCTATAGAGTCCACATGAGCGTCGAATTACAGATTCTTTGCCTCTGCAAGCAGCCGTCAACGAATACAAACACCACCAAATGTAGACATGAGGTATTGAGATCTTTGATTTACAAGTTTAAAAATCGGAAGGCCATGTGGCATTGGTTTTTCCATAATTTCTTTGCATGTTATACTGATGGCAAGGTGATCATGAATGATGCTTATTTAAATGAGATAAATGGTTGGGTCAGCATGTATAAGGTTGACAAGTTTGTGATGGTTTTAAATGTGGACAAAGTGTTCGATGAAATAGCTAAGAGACAAAATGAGGTTGGCAAATTTGCGATGGTTGGTAGCTGATGAGTGAAGCAAAGAATACTTGTATAAATAATAAACACCTCTCTCTTTCTGTAATTCATTCATTGTTCAAGGAATACAATCTTTAGTCATTCACTTTCTCTTTCTAAATTCTCTGCCATTGTTTTTCGTTTTGGTTATTCTGCAATCTCCAAAAGCTAATCATGGTATTGTTATAAAAGATGACGGAATTCATGGCATAACATATCTTCAGTCATGTGCTAGTGTAAAAAATATGTCATAGATAAGCATATATGTGTTTAAATATGAAATTCAAAAAAAAAAAAATAAATAAATTGTCCCATCTCATCCCATGCATAAACATTGTACTAAACAATAGACGGAACATGAGTAAGTTAGTCATTTAATTCTTTGGTTCTGTTCTGTCCAGCGCATACCACACGCAGAACGGAACAATCGTCCCCGTTTTGTGTTGCACGTAACAAACATAACATGAAACCTCCGTTCCGTCCTGTCCTATCTCGTCCTGTACCATCCTATCCCGTTTCGTCCCGTCTACGTATCAAACGGTACCTTAAGAATGAAGATTGACTTGGACAAGTATTATTCATTATGGTCAATTACTATTTATTTGAGTGGGTTGAATTGACTCTTGATTATTTGACAAAAAAAAATTGACTCTTGACTAGGGGATTTTAAAGGGAAACATATCATCTCCAGATCTCTTCCTCCAAAGTCCATGAATCTAGTGATTCGAGTTATTGAAATTTGATCAAACGGTTAAAAACAGAGAAGTTAGTAAAAAAATTTAAAAATTATAATAATTTTTTACCATTTGATCAAATTTCAAGAATCGAGATTACTTGATCCGTGAGTTTTGAAAAAAGAGATTCGGAAATGATCTATTTCCAAAATCTTGCTAGAGCCACTCCTTTTCTCTGAAACTGTACCACACTCTATTAGAATGCGACAAAATATTTCTTCTTTATTTAGTCCAGATACGGACTGTTAAAATGTCAAAACTACCCCACCCATAGCCAACTTCTCTTAACAAGTACTGATGTCTTAGAAGGTAATCTCCATTTGCAATAACTACCAAGTAACTAAAAAGAAAAGAAAAATAATGAACATAAAAAAGAAATACAGAACGACGAGTAATTTTTCGGTGTACCCGGCACACCAAATTTTTTTGGTGTACCCTCACTCATAATGGTGAGGGTGCACCAAAAAAATTTGGTGCACCCTCACTTTTTGTACACCAAAAAAATTCTAATGAGTGAGGGTACACCAAAAAAATTTGGTGTACCCGGTACACCTAAAAATTTTCCCAGAACGACGACGGATAAATAGAACAATCATGAACAGATTTAAGACTTAAAATCTAACCACATAACAATGGTTAATTACAGTCAAACCGCTGATGATTCAATCGAAGTCATGGAATCAGATGGCCAAGAAGGGATCTAAGTATTGGATTAAAAATAGGGAAATGTTATTGGCACTTCAAAAATTTCATTCTACACTTCTTATAAGTGTATTTTTCTTTCTAAATATAAAAAGTTTTGAGTGTAGAATGAGAAATTTGAAATGTCAATAACAATTTTCTAAAAATATTGCTCTTTTTCTCTCAAACCCCTCTTAAATATACTCGTCTATTTTCGCAAATGGAGGGCGTATGCACTTGTAGTGGCCGCTTCTCACTATTCAATTTAATTATTAAAATTATTCAATTTAATTATTAAAATTGGTGTCTCATACTTTGGGAAATATTCTGGAGTTTAGATTTCATCAAATGGGCATGAGTTAGTTAGATTAGATGGTTTTATGAGAAAATAAGGAACCCCCATATAGTAGTCGGTAACTTAATACGAGGTTAAAAAAAATAAAGCATGTCACAACTTGCTTTAATTTGATTTAGTTTAAGTAATAAGTTAATAATTAACTTTTATGTCATTTAGTTCATAAAAAATTATCTATAAATTTAATCTCATATATATAGTTTTGGGTATTGCTTGGAAGATTAAAGTTGGAGACAAAACCTGTAAATTAATGATGTGCGCCATTAAAAATGAACACGTTTATTAATGTTTAAAATTCAATCATAATTTCTACATATTTACAAAATTTTACCAATAAATTTAATCTTTACAGCTTTACCTCTGTTTTTTTAACTCTTTCAAAATATCTGGTCAAAGAAGGTGGAGTTTTATTGATTGGCAATTTGTTGGGAAACCGGCAGTGGGAAAGCAATCAAGATATAAAAGGCTAAAGCTTTATGGAGTCAACACCTGTCTTGTAAAAGGTTAAATCTGCTTTCTCTACTTTTTTGGTCAGAAAAATCTGCTTTCTCTACTGAACTTACGTACAAAAATGACGAGGACGACATGCAAAAATACTGCAAATGATAATGCAAGTATTGTGTTGCAGCAAACAACCAGCTATATGCCCCGACGTATGGGATCGATCGATCGAGGATTGTTTGGTTTGAGTTTCTGAAGCTCCAACTACAATTCAATAGTCCAAAAAATATGTAGTGTTTGTTTGGCAGCCATGCCATTTCACTTATTTCTTTTTATTTTTTATTTAATCAGTCAAATCCGCTCCCCACAAGTAACAGATCTAAATGATTCGGTTTCAAGCATTAAATTTTACGTATTTCATGGTTATAGGTAACCGTCGTGTAAATTTTCGATTTGGGGTTTAATTATAGTTATTGGAGTGGAGTTGCCAACTTGTATCGCACGTCTAACGCCTCGTGATCATATGTGAAAGCGGATGAAGGAAGACGGTAAACGAGTGGACAGAGAGACAGACATGTGGTTGAGAAGGCAAATAGATGGGCCCCGCCGCAATGAATGCCGATGCATCCGTTCCGCACCATTATTTACGATTTCCTCCTCTTCTCTCCTCTTCTCCCCTTGCATTCTCCGTTTGGTTCAAAATTCAATCATCCCGTACAGGTTAGGAGGAGCAACTCAAAATAGTACTGCGTACTACTAGCCCCCGGATTAAGCTCGCTGATTGAAGGGCACATGTCCTATCCCTTCCACTGTAATTATTCAGTCGGGACTATTCTGGGTGGAGGACTAGTTAGTATTTACCACCCCACCATCCCACCACCTCCTTCTTTGCTTCACAGAGTTAATTAATTTTCACTTTTTTCTGGACAAGCAATTCATCATTCCTAACCACTCCACCCACCTCATTACAGTTAAACTCCCACAGGCCCAACTCTCTCTTTAGATTACATAATTACATAGATATTTATTATTTTGTGGGAATTTGGAAGTCCGTCGTCCGCCCGAGAGATTGCGAAAATGGCAGAGGAGGAGGTAGCGGGAGGGAGCGAAGTAGTAGTCTCTGCTCCTCCAACTCCAATTCGCCGCGTTCTTCTCATCTCCGCCGGTGCCAGTCACTCTGTTGCTCTTCTCTGTAAGATTTTATTACTAGTTGTTTGTTTGTTTCATAAATCCGAATTCTAATCCCCACCACCAAAAACCAATCCTTCTGGTTGATTTGATTGCTTAATTTATATCCTAGCTAATTGCCGTTACTTCTTAACTTGTTCGGTGTCATCCTCCTGCAAATCATGGACAAGTAATGGTTTTGTCGGTAATGTGCAGCTGAAAATGTGTTTTGCTCCTGGGGACGAGGAGAGGATGGGCAGTTAGGCCATGGTGATGCCGAGGACCGACTTTTACCTACGCATTTGAGCGCACTGGACGGCCATGAAATAGCGTCTGTTACTTGTGGAGCTGATCATACAATTGCTTACTCCAACTCTCGTTCGGAAGTTTATAGTTGGGGATGGTTTGTTCTATATCTTCCAAGTTTGTGTTTTTTTTTTCCAGTGCGTTCTTTTTGTGTTTGCCTGTTTTTAAAAACTTGGTATATAATATATTGCTCGCTATCTTCTGAAGATTACAATCATAACCGCAACGTTCTATAGGCGCCAGTGCTCATGCTTCCATTCCTGTTTGGTTTCACACTTTTATTTTATTGATGTCGTTATTATTGATGTAAATATAAGAATATATTGTGTTAAGGTTTGAATAATTCTCATAGAGCAGTGAGATATGTCATGCGTCAATGAGAAAGATTATCGTTGTTTGGTTGTATTTGTAATAAGGGCATCATTCAGTTGAGTTATGTTATTGTTCGGTTTTTGTTTCCTTGCATTCTTATAGCTTCATAAGAAGTTAAGAATGAAGTCTTTTTACTATTTTACAGGGGTGACTTTGGGAGATTGGGTCATGGTAATTCTAGTGACTTGTTTACACCTCAGCCAATAAAAGCATTACATGGTATTAAGATAAGGCAAATTGCTTGCGGGGATAGTCATTGTTTGGCAGTGACGATGGAAGGTGAGGTGCAAAGGTTAGTTGTGCTTTCTAAAACCCTTTCTCGCTCTCCACCCTCTCTCAATTCTATTTTTAAAATTGTAACTTGCTTTCTAAGTTACAATGTCGCGTACAATAGTTTTCTGTCATGGTATATCTCCTTTACGATATTCTTTTTTGTCCCGACGCCCTTGTCTTTCCCACACCTGTGATTCATGCGGGTTATACAAATATTGATCTAATGATTTGTTTTTGGTGCACATTTTGTTCAAGTTGGGGGCGGAATCAAAATGGTCAACTTGGTCTTGGTACCACAGAAGACTCTCTTGTGCCACAGAAAATTCAAGCGTTTCAGGTATTTTAGTTACATTGTTTCTGATTTCCTGTTAGGTCTTAATCTCTTACACTTAAAATTAAGTAAATTTAGGAGACACAGAACTTGGGCCCTTAGGTGTTCGTGTGCTTCAACTTTGAAGAAAGAATTGGGGTTCCCCTATTAGGGGTAACCCTTATTCTTAAGTTTTTTTTTTTTGGGAACTAGAGGTAGAAAAAGTGAGAAAAGATTGGATGGGTGGAAGGAAACTTTGATGTCAAGTAGGGGATATGATCTTAGAGAAAGGGCAGTGCTTTTGTACTCCTACTTTGTACTCTATTTCATGTCCTTGGTTCTGTTGAATTATCAAAGCATAAAATTAAGGAGGAGGATCGCTAGTTTACAAAATAGAAGTGTGAAAATCGCCACTTTAGATAAATTGATGAGAGAGTTCTTATGAGAAGGGAGGAGATACCGTCTAATTAATTGTGACGTTGGGCAGAAAACAAAGTAAAATGGTACATAGCTTTACTGAGCCAAGCGTGTGTGGAGATTCCACTGTTGACAGTGGGATATGTGATGCTTGATGGGTGACATTCAAAAGTGGAAGAGGCCTTTTTCTCGCTCTCCTAAATTCATGTCAGTAATGACACCAAAAAATTTGATTCGAGGACAACATTTTGTATGGTTAATATGCTTCTAATTTTTGTTTTCCCCTTTTTACTTTTTGCAACTTTACACAAAATTTAAACAACAAACTTTAGAAGTTATAGATTTAATGTCTCAGGGTCGTCATATTTTCTTCAGTCCAATCCTTCAAAAAAAGATGCTGCATTCATCCTGATAATGCTTACAATTCCACTTTCCATTCGGGCTAGAAATCAGTGTGACCCTATTTTTGAGCTTTATAAAACGGTTTAGAAGATTGGTGTGCTTGTAAAATGCAGATTTTTTCATAGCTTCGTCACTTAGAGGAGACTCAATAATTATTATTTTCTTTAAAACCCACCGTAAGCTTATTTTTCTAACAAAAGTAAAGCGGAGAGAATCAACAATATTTTTCTCCATTTTATTTTCTCTGTGTTGGTCGAATTTTTTATGCGGGCAGCAAACTGAGTAGTTCATGCAACTTACTCCAATTGCTGGAAGGATCATTTTTTCCAAGGCTTGAGTTTTCTAGACACTAATTTTTGTTTTCCCCTTTTTACTTCATTCAGCTTTCAAGATCTTTAATAACCAGATCCATCCAGCATGTTGCTTCATTATTTTCTTTGATGACTCCCTTTATAACACTAATATTGGAATTATGCTGATCAAGATATATCAAGCCTTTGGGCTGAAGATGCCAATTGATCTGATTTGACATTATCTTCTTGAGAGATATGCTGAATCTCTTTTCAAACTTTTGATTGGCATCCGTTTTCTCATCCCATGTCACGCATCCGTTATTTGTTAACTGACAATTAGTAGGCAATCACTTTAGACTTTCAATTTTTTCACTTTTAAATGTTAATCAAACCTCAGTCTGACCATCACTGCCTCATAGTCTGGAGTATTCTTAAAAGCCCAAATGTCTAGTCGGGTTGCATATCGTAGTTTTGTTACTTTCAGGTTTAGGATCAGTGTTCTTGCACATTTTACTCTTAGATTGGTGACTTGTCAATATTGAGCTCCCATTGCTTTACTTTTTATAGCACAAGTTGGAACCTTGGGTTAGGTACTGTTTGGATCCAAGTTCATTTTGCATAGAAATTGGTATTTTTTTATGGTTGTGGATGACATGGGTGTTGGGGTTTTTAAGAATGCAAATACTCTTCTGAGCGTGACATTTGACTAATTTTTGGATGTAAACAATAAAAAAAAAAATTTAAGACAAGGTGGAGAAGTAACTTTTGTAGGGGCAAGAATAAGATTTTCACTTTCTTATGTGATTCACTGTTAAATAAATTTAGGGATGTTCCTTTCTTTCTTGTAATCGTCCTTCAGTAATTGGGAGCTTTGATTGGATACCTCTGTCACCAATCTGTTGTAATTCAAGTTTATGTCATTTCGGTTTATTTTATCTTCCTGCAAATTACTGTTTTGGCCTACCTCCCTGAAATGGTTATCCAATGAGTTTTTTCATATCTTGTTGCAGGGGTTATCTGTCAAAATGGTTGCTGCTGGTGCTGAACATACTGCAGCTGTCACAGAAGATGGGTCGCTCTATGGATGGGGCTGGGGCCGATATGGAAACTTGGGCCTAGGCGATAGGAACGATCGCATGGTTCCGGAGAGGGTTTCTATGGTTAATGTAAGTCTTAAGATCTGGTGCTGTTTATTTTATTCTGATTTTGGCCATCATTTATGATATCAAGTAAATGTGATCTGAAACCGAATATTGTTAACAGAAGCGTAAACTTCCATCTACCCCTTGAACCCCAACATCTCTAAGTAGGGTTTATGCTGTCTAAAATTAAGCAAAAGTGAAGGGAAGAAAAAGATGGAATTTGGAGATTTTGGGGGTTGGGCAAGTTCGTGAATGGTCAAAATTTGCCTCAAAAGTGAGACGAGCGCCCATCATGTGATTATCTAACGGAATATTGGATTGCTTTGTTAGAAATCTGACGGTAAGCCCTGCGTTGGGGTATTTTAGTATAGTTTATGACCTTAAGGTACAAATAGAATTTGCACAATTTTGGGGACAATTTACCATCAGACAATGTAATAGCCCCCCCAACAATGCATATTGTGTTCATTAGATTGTTTTCCTTTCTTTCTGCATCTGTACTACGTTGAAATTACAGATGAGAATTGGATCTTTCAAAGTGGCGTTGTCTTGAAACTAAGTAATCGGGGAGGTTCATAAAGGATTAGAGATTAGGCTTTGGAAGAGAGATAATGTGGTGCTTCAGCATCCGTGCCAGGGCTCCATCTAATGGATGTGCTTTGTTGTCTAGTATTGTCAAAGCAGGCTCTGCTTTTATAGGCAACAGAAACACAAGTTGCCCCTTTAGCTGGAAAGCTATATGATTAGGGATGGTGTCAACGGGAAGTATTGTTCCAGACAGATTTCAACTGGAAATCGTGTTTTGGAAGGTGACAGCCTGCCCTTAGAATATACCTGATCACTGTACTCTATGGTTCCATCAATGTTTTAAAAAGAGAAGGCGAAGCCAAGGCAATCCATGGATAGCCTCGCCTCACGGTACTTGAAATTATTATAATACTTTAATATACATAAGTATATAAAAAATACAATAAACTAATAGAAACCAAGTTAGAAACATAAAATTAGCATGAATTCTCAATTTTTCATAAACCTCAATGGTGAGAAACCCTAACCTTAAATTTAAAACTAAACATTTGTTGTAAACTTGTGGGAAATTGACGGGTGAGATTGGAGATTAGCAGCGTCGGCTTGAGTCTGGGAATTTTGAAGTAAAGAAAGGTGGGAGAAGACAAAAGAGTTTCGAGTTTTATAAAAACCCTGCCCCAAAATAACGTCGTTTTGGGTTTGGGCTGTTTAAAAAAGAAGAATTAAAGCGCGTAGGTGGCGCCTCGGCAATGCCTCAGGCTCACCTCCCAAACCCTTAGGCTAGTCTATCTCACTCTCGCTTGGCAGAGGCATTTTCTTCATATCCCCGCCCAAAATAAATGCATAGGCTAGTCTCAATATAGTTTTTTTAAAACGTTGGGTTCCATATAGCATCCTTAAGTGAATGGCTTACCCAAGAATAGTTTACTGATATAACTATTATTATTAAGGGATCTGCTTATCAAAAAGAATAGAACCTTGAGGGTTTATGAGGTTTATTTTGAATTTATGCTACAATAGAGGAACCAAAAGATATGCTTGAGCCTATCACTTATATGAGGTGGCAGACTATTGGTGAAATCTATGTGAATTGAAAATATGAGAGAGGAGCTCAGTTTTTTGGTACAAAGTAAACAATTTAGACAGTTAATGGCCTCATTATAAAATGTTTGGGTTTTTGGTTTTTGGTTTTCCCTTTCTAATTTAACAAGGGGAAACATTCAGGAGAAAGGGAATCTGATGGTGGGGAAAATAGAAACGAGGGAGAATAGATGGAACTAAATTAAAAAAAAAAAAAAAAACTATTTAAATTGTGTATTAATCTCACGGCTGTTTAGGTCACAGACGTTTTATCTTTCCCATTCACATCCATCATCCTTATCTCTCTCCCCTCATTTTCTTCTCTATCTTTAAGCAAAACCAAAACGAAAATATTACCAAGTATACCCTAATAATTCATTTTTAGGTGTTATGGGATGTGATGATATATATCTGCACCCTCACAGGTTGTAGTTGGAGGCTTTTATTTAGTATTTTTTACAAAACTCTAATAACGCGACACGTGAAAACTCCTCTCATCAAACCATAGGGGTATATTTATGCTAGATTCTTATATTATAAGGTTGATATTTGCAAATGTCCTATTTTCATTCAAATCTACTTGGTTAAAATCCCTCTATTGCCTTTGCTTTCTCAATTGCTTAACAGATCAATTTGTGACTTCTAAAAATGCAGAGTGAGAAGATGGTTATGGTTGCGTGTGGGTGGAGGCACACGATATCTATTTCCTCATCGGGTCGATTGTACACATATGGTTGGAGCAAATATGGTCAGCTAGGGCATGGGGATTTTGAGGACCACCTTGTTCCTCACAAGCTAGAAGCCTTGAGTGACAAATTTATTTGTGAGGTGATCTCTTAGCTTTTAGACTCTGATATAATGCTTCATTGATTTGTATAAAGATATAAGCAACTTTGGTGCTAGTTTTGAGTTAAGTTTCCTGCCTTGTCTTTTGTTAATTTGGTATTATTGTTTTCTCATTCCTTTGTGGCATCTGCCGTTGTCACGTATGGTATCAGAGCTCTTATATCATGAGATCTTGAGCTTGAAATCTATCTTCTCTACACCTGTATTATTTGTTAAATTGCAACTACATGGGATTGATCTGTCTTTGTTGGCCCATTCCCTAACTGCTCAAGATTTTTAGGGTCCAAAGATTGTCTAATAGTCAATCTAACAAATCCGGTATTACTAAAAGCTATCCCGTAATACTTTAACGAAAAACAAAAAACCTACTGGAAGATGTGTCCAGATGATTTCCAGCTCATTCAGACGAGTCGAATTGTCTTGCGGACAATTTTTTTCAGACTGGTTGGCATGGACATGTACTAATTTGAGATGACATCTTTGCCCAATCACAGATTTAGAGACAACTCATTAGAAAGCAGGACAATTTTATCATATATGTTGATCTGTCACCATTCTAAAATCAATTTTGGCCGGTGTTGAATGATGCCCATGCCATAATTTTTAACAATTTCAGTTCTATATTATTTGATCACATTGGATGGAGCTTACTGAACAAATATAGAATGGAGAGTAGTGAAATGGTTTGGGCAGCGAGAGTTAGAATGGGTGAAAGTTAATTCTGCAGGATGCTGCTCTAAAATTAGACAATTCTTCAATATTCTAGTTTCTCCAGAAATAGATATTTAGTCCATTTCCCACAAGAAGATACGTTTGTTTTATGGTTTTTGAAGGTCCATAGGTCTATGAGCTACTGACGGGAAGTATAAACCATTCGGTCCATTTCCCACAAGAACATACTTTGCAGCTGGTTTAGCTGGCATCTTCATTAAAGATATTCCTTAATGAGACTTCTTGCTGGTTTGTATCACAATCTAGCAGTACATCGTGTTGTTTTCAGATCAAGAGATCTGAACCTGCCATTCAACATTATGAACCGTTTATAAGTTAGAAAGTTGAAACATTTCCAAGGTCCTTGTAGGGAATAGGCTATTGGGTGCATTGCCAAACATTATTCTCTTACTGATTGTTATCTTTTTGGTAGGGTCGAGCCTGTACACGAGTCAAAAACCCTTCTTGTTTTAGATTTATCACTAACTGATGAACTGGATAACATAAACCCATTACTGTGACATATATAGATGATTGAGGAGTTTCTATTCAATAATGTCAATACCTACCTTGGAGGTGGATAGATAGACACAAATACGATGATGGAACAATCAAATGTATGAGTAAGTTAATGATACAATCGAATACGCTCCACATTAACAGTAACCTCTTCTTTGGGGACCTGACCACTCCACAATAGTGCCCAACACATGCATCTCAAACTATATCTGTCCCTTGTGCATCTGCAGGGGATGAGGGTCACAATGTTTAGGTTCTACAACCATTGGCCACCTATTGTTCCTTGCTACCTAAAGAAAAACAAAGGCTAAAGCGGTATACTTTGTGTGTGTGTGTGTCTCTGTTTGCACATAATTCTGAATGTGGATTAATTTCATTGAACTTACTTCAGGAAATATATTTCCTCTGCTAGATTATGCACTGACTCATGCTAATAGACATATGAAGCATTGTTAAGAGTAATTGGCGTTGGATAGGAATTCACTTGGATATGATAGAAGCAACTGTTGATTTCAGTCCTTTGTGTTAAAACTTTTTTGGCTTGTATCTTACCAGACATCTGGCGGTTGGAGGCATACCATGGCACTCACATCTGACGGAATACTCTATGGCTGGGGTTGGAATAAGGTTTCTGGTTTCTGTTCCCTTAATTTCACTTATAAATAATTTTTCCTGGTTCATGAATAATTTTTCTTTTCCTTTCCCTTTGAAGCTTTTACTTTTCTGTCACTTCATCTTATTATCAAATAGCAAGTCAGTTCCCCATTTCCCTTCTGGTTCGTTACTTACCTTTTTCTATTTTGTGGACAGTTTGGACAAGTTGGAGCGGGTGACAACATTGATCACTGTTTTCCTGTGCAAGTTAAATTTCCTCATGAGCAGGTACCTTCTCATTTCTGTAATATTCTGTTCAGTGGAGATTATCTTCTTTCGACTTGTCATCTGGTAGAATTTTTTTGGTAATGAATCTAATGATCCATCTTGCATTGTGGCAGAAAGTAGTTCAAATATCTTGTGGATGGAGACACACACTTGCTGTTACTGAAAGACAAAATGTGTTCTCCTGGGGGAGAGGTACAAATGGACAGCTTGGGCATGGGGAATCTGTTGATCGGTAATTTTGATCTATTTATTTGAATTCCTATACCATATATCTGTTTAATATATGTTAGAATTTGGGACTTAAGCTCTTGGGAACATTAGTAAAGCAACAATACATGGTGCTTATAGATTTCTGAATCACCACATATAGCATCCAAAATTGGTTTACGAAATCATGAATATCTTGACCAAATTATACTCATTTAGCTTATTGATATTGTCGTTAATATAGGCCTGGTTATGCGCAGTTTTAGCTTAATTAAGGCTGTTAGCTATTTAGGGGAATTTATTTCTTGGAATCATATGTAACTGGTGCACTCTCAATAAGATTGCTCTGTGTGTCTATAAAAAGAAAAAAAAAATCATTTATGGAATCCCAAAACTGATGATGTACAAACATTTTGTACTGAAGGAATGTTCCAAAGATTATAGAGTCTTTGAGTGTTGATGGATCTACCGGGCAACAAATAGAATCTTCAAAAGTTGATCCATCTACAGGTGCGGATACTCCCTTCCTTGTGTGTCACATCCTCACTTGCAACCTCTCCTGTATAATATATTATGTATAAATATATTATGGTGACTTGAAGAGTTCGTTATTGATAGCTTTGGATTTTGTGTTTATTGTTCTGCTTCTTTTGAACAGGGAAAACTTGGGTATCACCATCGGAGAGATATGCAGTTGTTCCTGATGAAACTGTAAGTTCGCGTCTCATAAATGTTCAACATCCAAGTGGATTAGATAGATACATAGTTGTTGGCATATGGAGATTCAGATTACTTAGGCAATTAGGGAAAAAAACGTGTTTTCATCAGATTCTAATAGAATCAGATTCCTTAATCAACTGCGAAAGTTGGGCACTTGAAGACGATCAAATTATAGAGGTTCACCTCGTGGAAGTTTCTTAACTCAGAAACATATAGAAAATCAAGAAGGTTGCTTTTTGCTAACCAAAGCCAGAAAGCTAAGGATACGACCTGCAGCAGCTGAACCACTTTCCAACAAAACCGAAAATATCAAATTCTGTTAGTTTTCAATTTTGGAAATGTGCTTAAGAAGTATACTATTAGAACATTTGATAAAGGAGTTATAACATTTTATGTAATTGCAAAGATAGGTTAACAACAAAGAAGTAACTGACAATGGCGTGATTGTTTATGCAGGTTCGAGGGCAAGCATCTACTTCAGTCGGGGGGAATGGTAATGATGCAAGTGTTCCTGAAACCGACGTCAAACGCATACGGGTTTGACCGTCTTAGAGAACGTACGTGAGTCTGTGAAATGAATGAAGACACATGGATGACCTGCCCTACTGGCTTATAAATTCCCGAAATGCTGTAAGCGATCAAACCAGTCGACCGCATTAGTAACATGTACCCTCATCTCCTCTGGTTATAAATTACTGCACCTTTGGAAAGACAATGCATGTACTCCTCCTGTCTGATGTGTTATCTAGGCAGAATACCAAAATACCCTGGTGGGTTTAACAGTTTTTGTTTGAGAAGGGCATCGGCATCCTAATCTTATGGTCATTTTCTTCCACTCTCATATTGCTTTCCACTGTCGTATTGTTTGACGAGGGCATCGACATCCTAATCTTCGGCTGCTCTCACAAAGCGGTGGGATTAGTGAGGTCGGCTGGGGACGCCAAAATACAGGTGTGTTTTGTTGAGAGCACACGGTTGCCCGACTTTATATGCTATGCGTGTGGCTATTAAAATTTTCGTAAAGTGAAACTATAACACTATGTTTGGACGATGGAAATAAACTTAAAAAATTGAATAAAGTCAGAATTTATAAATTGACATGCACCAATTCTCTTATTTGGATTCATAAACATAGGAATTTAGAATGGAAAAAAAAACTTGGAATTTGGGACTCTAATTCTCAAGTTTAAATTTCATGTAAATATGTGTCATTATCCAATTTCTATGATTGAGAGCGTAAAAATAACAAATTCTTTATTCAATTTTATTGTTCTTTTAGATTAACCAAACAAGAAAATTCACAAATGCTAGAAAATAAAATCATGTCATTTCAATTTTTGTCATTTTAAAATTTCTTAGTAATCTTAAACTTCTTCATCTAAATATGGTGTAAATGGTTTGATCGTTGAACTTTTTCTTGGTGACAACGTTCAAATGGTTTTTGATTGTTGAAGACATTCTTCATATTTTTAGTTTTCAAATGATTTTTTATCGTTGAAGATATTTTTCATATTTTGAGTGACTGTTTTTGGTACATATTTGGTCAATAAATGTTTATTTTATTTGGAAGAAATATTTTAAAAAGAGACAGGTGGGGGAAAAAAAATGAGAAAGACTGATATGGTTCATTGGCTGTAAAGGAGAAAATGTTTATTTTATTATATTGCTCATAATTTTTATTTTCGCCATTTTTTTCTTTAATTTTGTTGATAGAGTTGGATGATTTTTTTCATCATCTTTTAGTTAACAAAGATGATTTTACTATTTTATTTTAATTTTGTTGAAACAAAGAAAATTCTATTAAATAGTTTAGATGAAAAATATAATAAAATCTATGTCACACGTCCATCTTCATAAACTTAACGTGAAATTGTAAACAAGAGCATATACCCATGTTGAGGAGTTCCAAAGTCCACAATATTAGATGCTAGTTCTAAAATATAATTCAACTAACTAGTATTCAATGATTCGACTTGATTCGGTCATGTTAATTTTAATTTTTGATTATTGTGTTATAAGTCAACATTTATTTTGATCATTCCCTTGTTAAAATATTAAAATATCCATGAAGTGAATAAATTAATAAAACTTTTAATTCAAGAAAAACTCGAAATTTATCTTAAAGTGATTTTCATGGTAAATCTCGCTTGTGAATAAATTAGGCTTAGCTACAAAAATAAAAACATAAAAATTAATAATTCGTTATGATTAAGGGATGTTGTTAGTATTATTCTTACCAAAGACAAAAAAATTCAGTACACAAACAGACCAAATACCATAGATTTCATTCCTTTAGAGGCATTCACCAACTCAGATATCTTTTTATTATAAGAAAACTAATGAAAAGAGTTGGAAAACTTTGAGTTTTAATAATAATGATAAAATAAAAGGTAAAGTAAATAGTACCAGAATTAACTTTTTAATGTTAAAATATAATTCCTTGTTAAAATGAACAGTATCAGAAGTTTTTTGTTAAAGTTCCTTATTATTATCTCACCAACTAGAAATAGCCACCCAAGTCGTCCTTATATCTCATCCTGTTAACACCATCTCCACCACCACCCAAGGCGGAGGAGGAAGGAAAGAAAAATTCAAATAAAGAAAGAGAAAGATTCAAAACTCAAAAAGAAAAAAGAAAAACAAATAAACATGTAAAAAATGCAGATCAGATACCTGTTCTACCCTCCTCCCTCACCTCATCTCTCTCTCAAAATTTTACACCCTCAGATCCCCAACACCCCCCTTCCTCTTCTGCAACGAGATCACCTCCTTTAACTTTTCATATAATTCCACATCTACCCTTTGAGAGAATTCAGAGATCGTTCCATTTGTTTTCGTACAGCCAAAAACCAATAATACAAGGGGGAGGAAGGAGAGAGAGGGAGACCCAGAAAGCCCAATCGCCATGAACGACTTCGAGGGTCTCTTGGCCTCCGATTTCGGCTTCAAGCCCTCCGGCAAATCGGCGCCAATGTCTGCTTCTTCTGCTAATTCTTCTTCAAAGCCCTCAAATTTTGATCTCGGATCTACTGGGACCTCCCGATCAGCTCGCGCCAGCAATTCCTTTAGTGGGTCAATCGCTGACGATCGCGATTCGATCTTCGGATCCTCTAAAGGTCAAGACTTTGGCGATATCTTAGGCGGGTCGGCGCGGTATTCCGGTAAATTGGAGAGCCGCGGCGAGGACGCGGCTTTCAACTTCGATTCAATGTTTGGTGGGTCTGCTGATTCGGTTCCAAAGTCATCGTCGACGAATTCGGGGCCCGTTTATGATAAACCCGTTTACGACGACGACATTTTCGTTGGCGTTCCGGGGCTGAAGAGCACGGCTGCAAAAGTTAAGTACGAGGACATTTTCTCGTCGGTGACGTCGCCGCCGTCCAAAGGGAGTAGTAGAACCAGTGGGTTTGATGACATTCTCGGCGGGTTTGGCAAGGCCGAGCCCCAATTGAAAAGCTCAGGCACCAGAGGATCGGATAAAGTGGAGAAGGGCCTGCCCGGCTTCGATGATTTGCTACCTGGGTTTGGAGGTGGTAATGCTCCTAGTGAAAGGTATTGGTGTTTGCCATCACTAATGTATATGTATGTGTTGTGCTTTTATGCTTAGGGAACACGTTATTTTCTTGTTTGATCAGGCATAAGTAGTTCAAATTAGATCAATTGTGTGAGACGATTTATGCATTGTCTAAAACTTTGGTAAATTGTCTATTGGATATGTACCCGAAAACTGGTTAAGCACAGAATATTGTATGATGAACAATTTGGATCGATTTGCATTACCCACATTAGGATCAACATGCACGTTGAGTTTGAAAGTTTGTACTCATATAATATGGACGGTGATTGATAAAATGCTAAATTTTCTGTATTAGGCTTGCACTGTATTTTGTGTCGAATGGGCATTCTTTTCCAAGTCCTGATGAATGATAGTGATAGATCAAGCTATGCTTCACTTTTAGTGGGTGACATTGGATTGGTTGAATGGAGATATGGACATTGGAAGATCATTTATGGTCTGATACTCATGCTGTACATTCATTTTTCATAAGCTAAGGTTTCAGATTTTGGTTCCGCAATGTTGTGTTTTGGTTGCCTTGAACTGTGTAGAGTGAAAATAAGGCACAAACTCAGCAGCATAAAGAGAAAAAGAAACTCTATAGATGAAAGTGCAATCCTATTTCTTTAAATTCATTGTCATATTGTACTATGAAGGGAAATGATGCATGATCCCCTTTGATTTACAAAAAAAATTGGGTATAGTTTTGTCAAACAAGAGATAAGGAGAAGGCTCAGTTATTTGTGACCCGTTATTCTTTTTCCCGTCACAACTGTGGCCAGTTATTTAAACAATAATCAACCTTATGAATTGATAAGATTAACAATCTGGAAAGACAAAATTTCCTTATATATGCGAATTGATTCATATAGTATTTGAGCTTATGCATATATTATTTCATAGGGAAGAGCACTGATTAACATTCAGTTAATTAAAAAAAAATTTAAATTAAAAGTTTCAGGCAAGCTTGACCTTATATTAGCATGAATGCATCATGCACTTTTTAACTGACTAATTTTGGGTAATTTCATGATCTTTCACTGTTGATTTTTTTCTTGGGTAGACGAGATGTATGCAGTTAAATTGATGTTGATTCATTTTTTACTTTCAGTGGTGTGATTTATATTTAAATTTATCAACCACTTTTAGCTGTGTTGCTTCCTGTGTTAATGCAATGGCATGTTCATGTTCATTTCAAGTAAAAATCTTGTTACATTTATGCATCTGTGCTGTCTTTTCTTGAATCAGGTCAACCTCAGAGGCCAGTTGGCCCCATGAAAGGACTGCCAATGATGTGTCTAAAACAAACTCCAATGTGATGGAAGATCCTTTTGTAGTAACAGGGCAGTATAGTGACCCCTTGGAAGAAATAAGTAGACTTTCGAAATCAGGAAGCTCGAAGGTTGATAGTCCATCTGTTGATACTGGGCGAGCATTTGACGATATTGATCCCTTTGATGGCCTTGGAAAGTCAGTCCCAACATCTTTATCGGGAAGAAATTACAGGGGACATGATAGTGTCAATTTAAGGGCAGATACAAGCACAAATAACAGCAGAACTTCAACTGGTAAAGAATCAACTGAGAAGCCTTCTGTGAGAAGTCCAGATAACCAGTCTCAAAAGAAGGCCCCTGTTGGAAATCATTGGGATTCTCATCAGACCTTGTTTGATATGCCTACAGTTTCAAGTGATTCTCACAGATCATCTGGTCAAAATATGCCTCCACCTTCCTATGTAAATGCTAGTCCTAAGGAAACAAATGTACAAGTGGATAGGTCTCCAAGATCTGAAGAAAACATGGATTCATTGGATAATGTATGGCTCACTGTATCAGAGATCCCTCTAATGACTCAGCCCACTAGTGCTCCACCACCGTCAAGACCTCCTCCTCCAAGACCAGTGCAAGTTTCAAAGGCAAGAATGGGTTCCCCTGCTTCCACAAATGCAAGAAAGAAGGCTACCGAATCTTCTACACAGTTCTTTCAGGTTCCAAAGTCAGCCCCTGCTGCAGCGAGAGGCTTGGGTGACTCTCCAATTGATGAACTTGAGGATTTTGCCAGGGGTAAGAACCAAACTAACTTTTCTGAACACGCTAATGGCCTTGCTGGTGAAGAATTGGAGATGAATTCAGTTGCTGCTGCCATGAAAGAGGCTATGGATAAAGCTGAGGCTAAATTCAGACATGCGAAGGAAGTGAGAGAGAGGGGAAGTACAAAGGCTGCTAGGAGTAAAGAAGCACAGATGGAAAGGGATGAGAAAGTTATGCAAGAAAAACAGGAGAGGTTTGACAGCGAACATCTGCAGAGGGAAGGTGAAGAGGAAGATATGGAACAGAGTAGAGTGGAGAAAGAGAAGGAAATTGAGAGGGCGTGGGAAGAGAAAGAGAGAGAACAAAGGAGGCTTGAAAAGGAAAGGGAGAGAACCAGAGAAATGGAGAGGGAAAGGGGTATGGCCAGACAAGCTGTGGAAAGGGCTACTAGGGAAGCACGAGAGAGAGCAGCTAATGAAGCTCGCATGAAAGCTGAAAGGGCTAAAGCAGAGAGAGCTGCTGTAGACAAGGCAACTGCTGAAGCTAGAGAACGGGCTGAAAGGGCTGCTGTTCAGAGAGCTCAAAGTGAAGCTCGAGAAAGAGCTGCAGCAGAGGCAAAGGAAAGAGCAGAAAAGGCTGCTGCAGAAGCCAGAGAAAGAGCAAATGCAGAAGCAAAGGAGAGGGAAGCAAAAGAAAGAGCTGCTGTAGCTAGGGCTGGAGCTGAAGCACGAACTAGAGCTGAACGTGCTGCAGTAGAAAGGGCTGCTGCAGAGGCTCGAGAAAGGGCTGCTGCAGAGGCTCGCGAAAGAGCTGCTGCTGCAGCAAGGGCGAACCAGCAAAGGAGTGATAATGATCTCGAGCACTTTTTCAGCATGGGGCGAGCTAGCAGTGCACCACGACCTAGGGCTAACTCATCGGTACAATATTGCAAAATTCTTTTTCATTTGCATTTGAAAATCATGTTTTGACTAGTGGCTGTATATTTTCAGGATCCATTTCAGAATAGGCAAGAACCTGAAGTGCCAAAGGCATCAACCACTACTTCCTCAAACATAAGGAAAGCAAATTCAACCACAAATATTGTTGATGATCTTTCAGCAATTTTTGGAGGTAATTTGGAACTCGTAGTTCAGTTCAGTTAGTTGATTGTAAATACTCTTGTGTTTCTTTGTAAAATGTTGCTTCTGCTTAACTTTCCTAATTTTTGTGAAAAGGTGCTCCATCTTCTGGAGGAGAGTTCCAGGAAGTTGAAGGAGAGACTGAAGAAAGGCGAAGAGCCAGGTTGGAACGACACCAAAGGACCCAGGAGCGTACGGTATGTGGTTTCTTCATTAGATTTAGATATTTTTTGTTCCCTTAAATAAATTTGGAAAAGATACATGTTCCTCCAGGCCCCTTATGTTGAGGTTAGCCTATCCGAAATATATTTCAGTGATTCAAACCATCTATTTCTTAGTTCATTATTTGAAGATCATCCTTGCAAAAACTTGAACACAGTGGAAACAAATAAGACATCCAATTGTAGACTTGTAGTGAAGAATAGAGGAACACGGTATTTTCAAGAAAATACTAAAATAACAAACATTTAACTGAGTGGTAAATAGTTTTGGATTTGGAGTGATTTTGCAAGGATGATCTTTGGGAAAAGACCTAAAAGCTTGACGGTTTGGATTGTTGAATATATTGTGAATGTCACTTTATGTTCCTCAGATCTGAACTAATTTATATAATGCACACACATGTCTCTGCTATGTTTAACTTTATTATCATTTTTGAGAAGTTTGGATTGTTGTCTTTGATTTTCAGTTGAAAGCACTTGCTGAAAAGAATGAGAGGGACCTTCAAGCCCAAAGAGACCAAGCGGAGAGAACTGTAATTCTATCTTCCATTTTTCCAATGTGTTCTATGTGTTGAATCTTTCTGTTAAATTGGATGTATAGACTAAGGTTTGCACGTAATATGGGTTTAGGCATGTTGTTATTGACCTAGAGTTGATCCAATCTAAGGTTGTGCTAGGTTGTCTTTCCTGTCTTTTACCTTCTAATACTGAGTTGAATGACCAAAAACAATGAACAAAAAGAAAAAAATTCAGTTATTCTCTTTAGTCTAGAATTCTGCAGTATTACTAAGATAATCTTCTTTGTCAATTTAGAAGCAATAATAAGACTAATATATTGTTAAAACTTCCAAACAAATCTTAAACAACTTTAATAAATAGGGATGATTGTGGTAAGAAGCATAAAGGGGAAAAGACTATTAACAAATCTTAAACCAACTCAGTTCTTCTCCTACATGCACATGCTCATAAACTATTACCGTCTTATATAAAGAACTATATTCACATGCGATTTGTGTACATATAATTATGTGTGTTAGTTTACCAACCAAAGATCTAAATATTTTGGCATTGTTTTCATAAGATGTCAACGTAAAGTTGTTCTCATTTTGTAGATATAGAACTCAATTTCTTGCTTCTAATTTTGTGTGCCACAAAGTTACATCTGTGATTAATATTGCCTAGGAAGCTAGTGTTATCACTTATAAGTGTGATTTTATAATTCTTGAATTGGCATAGTACTTTTGCTTGTCATCAATTTTTGTATGTATGTGTATGTTTACTTTTATTTGCACGCTGTTTATTTCTCTTCATCCCTTAGCTGTACTGAAGCTCATATGAAGTTGTAGAGTTGTCGCTGATGGTTTATTCTTGTATATGTCTTCAGAGGATTGCTGAAACACTAGATGTTGAGATCAAGCGTTGGGCTGCAGGGAAAGAGGGGAACTTGCGTGCTCTGCTATCGACCATGCAATATGTATGTTGGAATAATATTTTGCCATCCTTATGCTCCACATTATGACAATTCTTTTTTTTTTTTTTTTCTTTCTTTTAAACGTGTTGAGGTTTAGAGTGCATCGGGGTTTGGAGTTGTGAAATCATTCTTTATGGAACAATGGTTTCTGTGGTGGGTTATGACTTATGAGGAGGCTTGTAGGTTAATCGATGGCCAAATCGGTGAAGTCCTACTAGAGAGTGTTCAAGAGGTTTCGCAGCATGTGCTTGGAGGTTTGAGAGAACACTCATTAGATTTTTGTTTGTTTATTTGCATGTTGGTGTTCTTGTCTGCGTATGGCAGTTAGAGAGGGAGGCTTAGCAGAATGCCGAATCAGTTTTAAGTTTAATTGTCAATTTTAGTCCCATGAGCATGTATAAAACCTGGTTTTTTTTTTTTTTTTTTTAATTGTGCTAAATTACTTGATAGCGTTGGATGTACTTTGAATATTGAATAGTTCCACAGTTTGTAACTTGTGCTGCTTATACTGACTCGAATTATTGAATGACCATCAGGTGCTCTGGCCTGAGTGTGGTTGGCAGCCAGTTTCTTTAACGGATATGATTACTGCTGCCTCAGTTAAGAAAGTATATAGGAAGGCAACTTTGTGCATTCATCCTGATAAGGTACAACAGAAGGGTGCGAATCTTCAACAGAAGTATGTAGCCGAGAAAGTGTTCGATCTTCTTAAGGTATATGACGTTTCTATAAATGAAGCTGTATTCTAGAAAATCTGTTTGTCGTTCTCCCATCACAGTTGGTTTTATTTCTGATTCGGTTACTTGATTTAACATTAGTATTATTATACAAGCCTATTTTGGTGTGGCACTAGTATTATTGTACAAGCTTTCTGAAATTGCACGTCTGGAATTATGGCACCATGTAGGAAGCTTGGAACAAGTTCAATTCGGAGGAGCTTTTTTGAAATCTTCAAGTGATTCTTCTGCTTCGAGTTACGTAATTTGGCAACCAAATCATTTGTCACATGGGAAGAAGAATATCCGCTTATTTTCCAGAAGAAAGACTTATCATCGCTGGTGGTGGAATTTTGATTGAATTTGAAAATATATCGAGAGAGGCTTCCGTTGGCCGCCAAGATGCCTGGTCTGTATTCTCTTATATTTCCCTTTTCTTTATTCCCCTTGGCCTCTTGTAATTGTTTGTGTGGGTATTCAGGGGTTAAAGGGTTTTCGAAAGATCGGTTTCTGGGAAAGGCTGGTTGATGTACAATACCATATTGTGGTATTGCACTCATCTTTATTCAGGGGTTCGTTTGATATTTTTAGGTGGGTGGGTGGGTGGGGTGGGGGGTGAGAGATTTTGCCCTTTATATTTTTGTATTTGTTTGTGATATGGCACATTCTGTTGAATATATATATATACCATTATTTGTATTGACAACAAAGCTATTCGTATGTGAATGCATGATTGAGCTCTGAGTTTGATTTTTCGAAATAGCTTTCTTTCGGTATTAACAGATAATTCGGAAAAGCTCAAGTAGCAAAACTTGCTTTCCCTTGGGAATTTATTTGAGAAAAACTTGTGGTTAATTTACTTTTATCTAGGTTTTCATTCCAACCCTAGATAAAAAGGCGTTCATGTCCCTCAATATTTTCATCAAACCTAAATTTTCTAATTAGTTCATCAGGATGGCAGAAGAGCATCGAAGCCCTTCATCTGAGGCCTCCGACGTCTCAGCCGTCTCGGATGCTTGTACTCCACCACCGAAACAATATAGTCCTCATGATCACCTTGTTCAACCCTCCAAACTCGGTTTCATCATCGAACTCTAACTTAGAGCCATCTCTACTCACTCAGGGAGACGGGAGACGAGAGACGAGAACCCCGGGGGGGGTGGTGGTGGTGGTGGTGATGGCAAAAAAAATCCAAACCTAGGGCTTTCACATGCAAATTTTGCAAGGGAGACTCCTCTACTTCCCAAGCATTGAGATTTGAGAGGGCATTTGTGGGGGTGTTCTGGACATTACATCTCTCGGGGTTAGGGTGGAATCCGCGATTCACAAGCTTCTTTTCCTGGTCCCCCTCATCCTCCGGTGGAATATGCTCGCAGGAACCGGAACCAGCAGTGCAAATTTGGTGGTTCTAATTTCTAATCGACAGGTGAACCATTGGTGACCTGCCCCGCCAGAGCCTCCGAAATCCGATATTGATATTGGTGCTGCTGCCTGCTGGAATCAATTGGTCTCTTACGCTTTGAATTAGTTTTTCGCTTGTTGTTCTATTTTATTTGTGCAGTATAGTGTTGTATCAAGTTCGATTACTCGACACTCATCTGAAGACCGATGAGATGAAATTCATATCAATTCCAATTCCACTCTCGCCATTTAGGTCGAGTTATTAAGGTGTCCAATCACCACTTACGGAGGAACCACAACAAAAACTCACCTAAACGGAAGCGTACATCTGACGGATATAGTGTTTTCCTGCAGTATTACTAATCTAAGAAATATCCCTCCTTAACCCCAAAAAAAGGAAGAAAAAAACGTCCTACCAGACAGGTTTATCACTTCACCGCATGGGAATGCAAGGAAAATTTTAAATTTCTAAAACAGTTTTATCACCCAATCATCGGCGATGCGGACATTCGGCTTGCGGATGGTTGTTGCAGTTGGGCCTTTCTTTGAATGAAGGAGAAGCGGGCCCAGTTCAATTTCGGCCTTCTGGTTTGCGGGTTCAATTAGGGCACTTTTCTGCCCAGTGGAGAGTCCTTGCAGAATAATCCTCTCAATAACACATTCAGAAGAAAACTGGTTTTGGCCAGGGGCAGCGGGTGCCATATTAACAGATGTGAGCTTCCCATCTGAGAATACAAAACGACGATGGATGTAGGCCCCTTCCTGAAATCCAAAGCTTCTACCATCGTCGACATAAAGTTCACCTTCAGCTGCTTGTGAACTATTAAGTGCTATCACCTGCACCGTGTACAAAAAAATTACAACCATCCACTCTACTGCATTCGCTTTTCATGCTACAAAGAAAAGTTCACTTAAAAAGGTAATACAAAACCAAAAAGTACTACAGAAAGAGACTACAACAGTGTTCAACTTCACAGTTAAATGGTATGCAAGTGTTGATCTAAAGTGTGCGTATTTCAATCTACAATCGTATTTCAATTAAAACATGTAAACAAATTGGCACAGGCTGGAAATGTGTGCAAAAATGTGCATTTCTATTGACCATGACTAGGACCCATACATGAAATAACCCCCAATCTTAAAAGCCACACCCTCTAGATTTTCTTGCTAAATTGTTCATCACAGACGTATGGGTAGGAACTATTTCATCAACATGATGAAGTTCAACTATGTTCTCAACATGATGAAGTTTGCAGAAACACTAAAAAGTGAGGATCTTCTTTGATGTTTACCTAAGAGACCGGGATTCAAGCAAGGATAGGAAATAGACAACCATTGAGCCCTCAAATGGATTTACATCTTTCATTACTGGATATTTTTATATCAAAGATGCAGAAATCCTTGTTCTAACTTCATACAAAAGCTTATCTATTCTAATCAAATATCCTTAACTTTAAAGTCAAAAACATACCAGAGTGTATGGATCATTCACCATCTGTGTGGAACTTCGACGAAACCGGTCTTTCCTTGGTATGATGGTTCCAGCCCTTTGGAAAGCAGGAATACTTTCTTCATTAACGTCCAACTTATAGGTTTTACCACCCTTGTATGCGACTCCAGTTTTTGTGTCATACCATAATTCCTTCCCAGGCAAATACACTGAAGCATGTCTTGCATGCTAGTACAACAGAGTAAAATAATGCCAACAGTATCAAAAGTGGAGAACGCAAAAACAGATAGACGGGAAGAAAGCTAAATGAATGAGTAATATCAGCCTCTATACTACCTCTGTATAAATCCCTTGCACCAGAAGACTGCTTCCAATCATGAAAGCCTCATCATTGCTGAAAGTAGCTTCTTCAGAAGGGAACTCCATCCATAATGGACGAATAACTGGAACACCAGTTGTGTTTGCCTCTCTAAATAATGTGTAGAAATATGGAAGCAACATGTAACGAGTGTGTATGGCCTCCCTAATACGTTCAGTATTTTTTTCCCTGTAATCAAGGTAAAGACCATCGGGTGATTAAGTGATGACATGGTAATATCCTATACCGGCAATGTTCCTATCAAATTTTCAATCAGATAGAAACACGTTCAGTTTTTCATTGAGCAGGTTATGATTCCTGTGACATTTCAAGCAATAATAATATTATATTTCTAGAAATTAAAATGTTCACAAGGAACATGACCAAGCAAGCAATCTGATAATATAAAATGATGACAATCATGTCTACTCCAAAGTCCAAACTTTACGCTATGTTGTTTAATATCCCTCATGCAGCATCAACAGGTCATATTGCATAAGTATCATGGCACTGTTCATTTAAAGGCACTTAACCATCATAGAATTCTTGCCCACCAAAAGTACTACAAATATTCCATTTCATTTCTTTCAAAGAGAAATTAAATCACTATAAGTTGGCCTATGTCTGAATTAGATAGTACGATATTCACTTGATAGAGAACATTCAAAAATGGCAAAAATCATCTTATAGAGGGGAACTCCTACCCAAATAACCATGGTTCTCGCCTTTTGGTGTCATGATGGGCATGGGCTCTGAAAAATGGATAGTATGCTCCTAACTGATACCAACGAACTAACAACTCAGGTTCTGGATTGCCAAAGAAACCACCAACATCAGCACCTGTAACAACATTACAGCCATGAGCACCAGTTGAAAAAGAAACTGTGTGTTAATATGAAAATATTGCTTTTGATACCTGAGAATGAGATCCCTGTAAGACCAAGCGTCAAAACCATTGGAACTGAAACCCTAAGGTGATCCCAATCAGCTGAATTATCTCCTGTCCATATTGCTCCATGCCTTTGACTTCCAGCAAATACTGCTCTCGATAAAACAAAAGGTCTATCCCTTCCATCACCTCGCTTCACAAGCCCATCTGCTGTAGCCATGTGAAAGTAGTACCCATAGGCATTATGTAACTCTCGATGTTCTACACCTTCGACATGTAAAGCATCTCTAGGCATTGTAACCTGGTCATGGTCAACAATCATGAGATGGTTAGATGGTATACTAGAAATTAAAATTAATGAAAAACAGGGGCTAACCAAACAAGTCATAAACACTCAGTAATCACAATTTCCTATGGTCCTCTAATGCAGCATCAGCAAAAAATGAAAAATTGAGAGTGTTTCTCTAATCCTTTCAGGTTGATTTCATTCTTAGTCAGTCACATATTGTATCACTAATAGTTCATAAACGAGCTAAAGCCCATCCTTTTATTGACAATGAACCAAGACATAAAATAAGCAATACAGGACTATAAACTCCAAAATCCACAGTAAGTGATTCCCAGGGAGTTTAAGAACTTAAGTTGTACTGGCGTCTGACTCGGAAAAATTATTCAGCTGATTTCAAGCTTTAAAGACTGCATTTAGGCTAGTCTAACAAGGAGTTTAGTACGCTTGTTTGTTTTCAACCAATAGACCAAAGTTAATTCGACGAGTTAGACATACAGTTATCAGTTCCAAACCAGTCAAAGAAGCCACAAGTTAATCCTAAATCCATTGCAAATTTAGAAATCATAACTAATATAGAAGACAGTATTGGTAAGAAATCTTGAGTGTAATTCACCTAAATTAAGCATACATTTGAATAGAAGGTTTACAAGTAAAGAAAAGAAATCAAAGTTAAATTCATTTGTATGTTCCGGATTTTCAGTTTGTGCTACGACCAACTTAAAAATTCCATCTTCTCAGCACCTCAAATTTGACCAACTTCCCCCTATTATTCTCAAGCAGCAGTATTATTAAAGTATTTGCCTGCTCAAACTAGGCTAGTACAGGGATATGGTTGACTCATAACTATAGAACTTGATGCCTGTAAACCAAAATGCCCACCTCATCCTTGCTCGAATAATTTGAATACTAAAAAGTTTTCTATTCTAATATTATATTTCAATAAACCAGTCTATAAGGAAACATTGTACATTCGATGGGAAATATTAACCACAAAGAAATTCCACAAAAGATATCAATGCTGCAACAAACATAATATGTAAGAACTAGAGACCAAGAATGCAGTGAGAGATTCCAAGCGAATACAAAAGACACAAAATGTCGCTATGGCAATAAACCTGATTCCTTACACAATTCCACTTCCTTAATGTAATCATATATTTGTTCATGATGCTACTGCAACAATTTTTTTTTTTTTTTTTTTTTTTATTGTGACTGAACTTAATAAAGGTGCCTTATCATTCTGATCTTCCACATTTTCCTACTCATAGGTTAGAGATGATACATGTTTGTACAAACAAATGATGATTATCTGTACATAAAATCAACCTACTATACTTGGACAAAACTGAACTAATTCACTCATGAAAAAAATACGTAATAAGTAATTGGATGTGTCTTAACCACCTTTCCTCACTGAAATAATAATAAAATCGTAAATACAAAAGAAAAGTTCTTGGCTCAAATTTCTCCTTGAATAACAATAAAGAATATTAAATAATAAGGCATAAATATATAATTAAAAAGAAATCAAATCTCAATAAAAAGCATGGTACAGTGGCAATTAAGTAACTTACCTCGGGACCATTGAAGACAGAAGGCTCATTCATGTCATTCCAGATGTACAGTGAAGGAGTTGAGCCAACATAATTCTCAAAAGAGAGCTTTTCAGCCCACCAGGACCTGATCTCTGGCCTCAACATATCCAAATACGATGATGAACCAGACCAGCACCACCCATCATAATCCTTTCCAGTGGCATCCCTAACATAATACTGCTTTTCGGTGGCCTCTTTGTGCAAAAAGTAGGAATCATCCCGCTTAATATGAGGATCCACAATAGTAACCATGTGCCTACCCTTAGCAGCCAACTTCCTCTGCATCTCCTCTGGATGCGGAAAAAGCATTCTGTCCCATGTAAAATATCTCTTCCCATCTGTGTGCTCAATATCAAGCCACAAAACATCATACGGAATATCGTGTTCATCAAACTTAGAATCAACTTGCTCAACATCCTCCTCATCACGATAATTCCACCTACATTGGTGATAGGCCACAGCAAACAACTGTGGCATTGCAGGTGTTCCAGTTACACTCGTGTACTGGCGGACTACATCCTTAGGTCCAGGTCCTACGAAAAAGAAGGCATCGACGATACCCGCCTCACTCATCCAATGTGTATCGATCCTAGATTGTGACGTAGGGAGAGAAATGCCAGACTCTGCATCCCAGCCGGTTCCAAGAACATCAATCTGCATCTCAGCAGCATTCAACCAAAAGAAACCAGAAGTCCCGCGTGACTTGCCGTGGGAAATCATCAAGGGTATGGAACCATAAAGTCCAAATGGGGAATCATGAATGTACTCAAACACATCTAAGTTAAACAATCTATAGGGTTCAGATTCCTCAACCCCAGGACCTCTAGTGGGCTTCAGAGCTAAGCTTGTAGCACGCTCAGGAATCCCATACACATGGTCAGCATCGTAAAAGGACACATCGAAACTAATCGATTGCGGGCCGAAAGGCCTCGTATCTGTATGCCCTTTGAACCTCTCCTCCCAATCCTCACCATCCTTTTTCACCCTCAATTGCTCAAAATCAAATAAACCATGAGAATTCATAGAAACTACGCGATTACCTCCCCTTTTGCGCACGTACACCTCGAAGGGATCGTGCCGGAGCACCGCCTCGTAGCCATCCAACAAGTAGACGATCGATGAAGGACTTGCATCGCCGCCGATGGTCTCCGTTGAAAGCCTCTGCAACCACAGCTTCTTGCTCAAAAACTCCGGCATAACCACATCGGGAACCTCGAAACGCTTCTTGGGTGGATCGAGTTTGGGGTCCTCGTCGATCCTGAGCCGCAAGATCCCATCTTGGTAAACAGAAAGAGTGAGAATCAATTGCTTGATTTGGATTTGGTCTTGATCTTCCAGGGTTTTGTCGGAGGGGACAAGCCTGGCTGTGAGGTCACCGTCGGAGATAGATACGTCATGGGCGGCGAAGGAGGAGCTGGGTTTGCGGCCACGGGCTCGTTTGCAGAATGGGGTTTGGTTACAGTTCCTGAACTCATCTTTCTTCCAGGAGACGACGGAGCAGAGCTGACAACTGACAAGGAGCAGGAGGAAAACGAAGACCGTCGGATTTCGATTGGGGATTCTGATCTGCCTTTCCATTTCCATCTTCATGGATTCTCGCTGTTCATACCTCTCTCAGTCGGACTAGTAGCAAGGGAAATGAGCAAGAAGGACTTTTTCTCCTCTGATCTTCTCAGTTCTCAGTCAGTCTCTCACTGATGGTGTTTCGGGTATTGACCCGGGTGACCCAAGAACCAACTAATTGGGCCTCCATATACTTATGTTTCTTACTCTTTCAGCCCAATAACTTTTTTCACACAAATAACATTTTAGAAAGATAAATTTTGGACAAGAAGGTAATTCTCCCATTCGATTCTTTCTACGTTTGGTCAGTGTTCAGTGAACTCGCTTTCCAAAAGTGAGCACATATCTATCTCGTGTCCAACACATTATGACTCGTTATAAGTGTTTTTAAAATAATAAAAAAATGTTTCTAGAACAAATATTTGTTTGTTTGTCTTTTTAATATTCTTATTTTAGTTTTGTTATAGAATAGTGTTTTATATATTAAGTGTGATTGTATAAAGTAGACCGAAAGAATGCAAGGGATGCAAGTAATCTCTACCCTAAATTAGTATAAATAAAGGCATAAGACAAAAGAAAAAAACATATATAAAAAACACTGAACCCTTCTTCCTCTCAGTTGTTCCTTTTTTCACTCTCTATAATTATTTTACTACAAATTTCCAATTTAATCTATTGTTTGTTTAATTAAGTCTACAAACTGCAATAAATAATCGGTTAAATAGGTATTTAAGCAATCCTTGTGAAATCGACATCATATTTACATTTATCATAATTAATTTGTGTGCTTACACAATTTCTTTTAAATTAATTAATTATTTAGGGGTGCAAAATATATATGTAGACAGATATTACTAGTGTGAGGTGCGGTGCGTACACGGTGCAGAGTCCTTCTCTTATACTTGACTTGAAACCTCTTCAAGCAAACCCTAGACTTTTGAGACTTGACGAACGACTATAACAAATAATTGAACAAAAGGTTAATCAATCCTCAAAACTGATCATGTTTTGATTGGTGAGAGCCGTGGGACTCAAACTGATCAGTGGTTTAAGTTCAAATGGAGATCAATACCACCATACCCATCCACGACATAAGTACGACGGATCGACAACAGACAAAAATCCCATTTCTATACGAATCGTATACACTCATGCACATCATTTTCACATAACTACATGTATTTCAAGCATTTATTCAGAACAAACACAATAAGCCCTTAATTCCCAGCACTTTATGCGTTAAAGGTGGGTCTTGATTTTGGCATTGATGCGGTTTGGCTTCCCCTTACTGTTAGAACCCGACTCGCAGAATGTTATCCTCCTAATTAATCAGGATGATACATGCCTAGCGCCGAAAGGAAACTATGTTGACAAGGTTAGACAGCTAACTCTGGATTGTCATTTGGTTCTGCACGCAATCTCCAGGAATGCATATGGGGCTGAAAGAGGAATTGGCCATTTCTGGATTCAGTGGAATTGCTGGAATCGGCAACCTCAATTTCACCTTGCTTGCTTTTACAACATAAACAGAGCAAGGGAAGGAGCGAGAAACTCCTACTTTTACAGTTTGCACACCCTACATATTCACAACAAAATTCTAAAAATATTACTCTATGAAAAAAGCTAGCGGGATTAATTTACTGCCATTAACTAATGACGTTGATTTGTCATCTTATATATGAGTATTATTGATTACACATGGCTGTCAGTGACTTTGTGGCATCAAATTTCCAAATCCGTTACCTGTATACAAATATTTGTTTGTTTGAAAATGCTTTTAAAATAAAAGATAGTGTTTTTAGAACAAATATTTGTTTATTTGTCTTTTTAATATTCTTATTTTAGTTTTGTTATAAAATATTTTATATATTAAGTGTGTGTGATTGTATAAAGTAGAAGAATGAATGTAATAAGATTATTCTTGTATGATTGTATCACCTGAGCTAGCAATCCACATATAAACCAACATATCCCCTGATCATAGGCCAACAAAGAAACGCCACAAACCAACCTTAATCCAAAGGTTAGTCTTGTGCAGTTTATATATTCAGTATGAGTCAGCGAGTGGAACTCAATTTGCTTAGAGAATTGGTGTAAATGATTTGTATGAAATGCATATTGGGTTTCTGATTTTAGTTTCTTTAAATATTATAAATGTACAATGGGTTGACCCAACCAAAACATAAAATGAGCACGAAGATACTAGCAAAATGAGACAAATCAATGGGTTAGAGAATTTGTGTAAATAGTTAATATGAAATGCACATTGGGTTTCTAATTTTTTTTCTTTGAATATATACTTCTACATTCTAGATGTACAACGAATTGGCCCGACACAAACATAAAACAAGTACAATCTATTAAAAATACTACTCTAATTTGGAATTTCTTTCAAATGGAAACACACATAAAACTTAATAATGGGAGGTCAAAAGCTGCATCAATTTCTTACATAACATTTTGTTTACTTTTAACGTATCATAAAACTTAAAGTTTGGTTTATCTTTCAGCGATACGAGAGGCCTTATTACAGTGATTGGCCTTTTAGTGTTTCAGTTGGGCAAGCAGCAAATAGCAACCAAAGCGTAGCAGTTGACCTCAATAACCATCCACATCAATTTTTTGTCTTTAAAGATCGAAATGGGCTCATCTGATCCAAGTCATAATGTGTCTTAATATCATAAATTAGGATGGTCATCTAGTTCAAATTGAGTGTGGAATAAGTAAAACTTCAGCCATCAATTACAGGCTTGTCCAGAATTTGTCTACTTACATAAAATTCCATAACCTTTTTTTTTTCTTTTCAGAAAACGATGTAAACCAACATATCCACTGATCATACGCCAATAAAGACACGATATAAATCAACCTTAATCCAAAGGTTAATCTTGTGTGGTTTATATATTCAGTATGAGTAGGTGAGTAGAACTAAATTTGCTTAGAGAATTGGTGTCAATGATTTGTATGAAATGCATATTGGATTTTTTATTTTAGTTTATTTAAATACTATTAATTTACAATGGGTTGACCCGACTCAAACATAAAATGAGCACGAATGTACTAACAAAATGAGACAAATCAATGGGTTCGAGATTGGGGTAAATAGTTAATATGAAATGCAAATTGGGCTCCTAATTTTTGTTTCTTTAAATATATACTGCTAGATATACAACAGGTTAGCCCGACACGAACATAAAACGAGCACGATCTATTAAAAATACTACTCTTATTTGGGATTTCTTTCAAATAGAAACACAGATAAAACTTATTAGCTTTTGCCTTTCTCAGGTTGTGCTATCGTTGATTAAGAATTTGAGTTTTTGGTGACTACAAATTTCTTGTTCGTTTAATTTATACTAACAATACATAAATGAACACTTTGCTTTGAGCTTAGTAAATAGGTCAGACCAACTTTTTGACCACATTATGTGGAAGATGATGTATGTATTAACGCATAAGTAACATAGGTCATGATAACTACTCCTTGTCTGTTACATAATGTGGTATGGATATGTGGTGGTTTGTCTTGGGCCTTGTTTGGTATAGAGGATTGGATTACTCTCAAACTCTTATGACAACTTGAAGGTGGAAGTGAATGTTTCTTCATTTGCCACTTTTGATGTTCCCGCATCTTACGTAAGTTTCTCCACCTATAAAAATTCAATTCTTGGAGTTGGATTATGACTTCTAGAATTTACAATATTGTTCCAACTAAGGTTTATTTTTATTCTATTTTTTATTTTTTTTATCGATATAGCCCATTGTGCGGAAGAATGAAAGGAGTTGTACTATTCTTGGATTTTTTATCCAACTACTCATCAGGGACAACTCCATTATCATCAAGATGGCATTCAGAGCTAACATGAAGTTCACTGTGTTTTTATGCCATAAAAACATAGTGGCTTGTAGCCACACTCTACAGCAAATGAAGACCTCCCATTCCAAAGGGTTGGCTTTTAGCCTACATCATCTGTTTGGGCATTCTTAAGTAAGTACCCTATATCAAATTAAATTTGAAGAATAAAGAGGTTACATCTGAATAATTAATTATTTTTCATTAAACATGCCATTTTTGCGACAGCTTGTAGTTTTTGGGGGATTGCGTGAAACTACCAGCTATGTGCAACAATTCATTATATTTTTTAATAAAGCATTTAAACTTGTTTTTTTTTTTCTCATTTTTTTCGTATGATAAGTCAAAAAAAGTCAATATCCGTGAAAGGCCTAGCCAAGCAAAATTGCTTAGTGTGTTGATGGTGATCGCTGACGGCATAGTTGTCAGCCAGATTGATGGCCCCATTACCACCATTGTGCACTCCTGTACTAGCCATGCCGACTCGTTGAAGTACACCAAAAATTGGGTGAAAAGTCTAGTGCTAGTCGGAGCTACAGTGGTCCTATCGGTGTGCTACAACTTACAAATGGCAACCGCGTTGACTTTTTGTTTTCTTTTGGGTTGATTCAAACACTCATAAACACATGGTGCACATTCGAATGAAAACACAAACACATCTGCTAATTAGATTTCAAAATAACTTCTTGTCTTTATGTTTATTTTACATCTTGCTTTTCTTTTTGTGTGATTTTAGCAACGGACCACTAATGAGTACCCTGACTTTCCGTTGATTTGGATAATGCGTATGTTGTCCCCATTGAAACGCTAATGGACACCATAGTGGCCGTCGCGCTTACCGAGAGTACAACGTATGCATGGATACTGGGGTTGAACATGAAGTTGGCATGCTACCTGTATTCGGTGAGTTTTGGGGTAGTTTGAACTTTGAAGTGATCTTTTAATTGCGTAACATAGACACAATTATGATTTTTGCATTGTTCTTGTAGGGTCTGGAAGTTTCTGCATTGACAGCATGGCTACAGAGCCTAGTGATCAAGATGAGAGGTGCCTTCTTTCTGTCATTTTTTAGCCCCCTAGCCACGGTTATTTTAATGGTACAAGGGGCTATAGTACTGAATGAGGATATTGACACTGGGAGGTAAGAAACTGTACCATTTCTTACATATAATAATGTTAAAGTTTTGTT